TGGTAGCCTCAAACCATGATTCATACTGAGTCACTGTCCTGAATACTCCTGACACCTTTTTTTAAACCTGTGCTGCAGATGGGCCTTTTTTCTTGCATCTTGTGTGTCTTAGCTGGGATATAGTTCAGCTTTGAGTCATGGAAAAACTCAAAATAACGGTTTAAACAAGGAGTTCTTTCTTTCTCATGAATCGTTTAATATAAGCAACCTAGGACTGACAGGATGGCTCTTCTCCACAAAACTCTCAGAGCATTCGATTCCTTCCAATTTATTTTTCTACAGTTCTGAAGAGGTGCCCTTATCTCCACAGTCTGAGGCAGCATTCATGTTCCAGGTAGAAGGTGGACAGACGGATGAACACGAAGAGGTGAACGACGCCAGCTGTTGCTTAACATAGGTTTATAGAACCTGGGAAGCCTTATATGTGATTTGGAGTGGAAATTAAGGAGAAGATCCAAGTTGTACTTCCTAAAATAGGGATGACACCAGAAAGAAGTACAGTGAGGCAGTTCATTAACAGAGCTAAGCAAACAGAAGTGGCACCCTAAAGCCAGGGCTAATGTAAAAATTGGCAGACTGTAGATATCTCGAGGAGGTCTTTGGGCCTCCCTATCTGTGGAATAGGAAGTTCAAAACAATGCCTTCTAGATGCTAAAGAACAGAGGCCACAGCTAATGTGGGTTAAAATACAAACCAGACATATTCCAGGATCTGCCCTGTACACAAGCCATCCGAGAACATCACCTATCATGCGACTACTCCTGCTTCTTTTCCAAGTTGAACTTTCCACCCATACAGACACTTTCTGGGGTCTGACAATAATAATGTTGTCTCTAGAAGGTTGCTGTCAGATGCCATCTGGAAGGAGAGAGTGGCATATAGGACATAGTACCCAGATGACACTTTCACTTAAGTCCCATTGACCAGAACAGACTGCCAAGGCTACCCCTAGCTGCACAGCAGTCTGAGACATGTTTATCCTGAGTGGCCATGTGCCTGGCTAAGCATTCTATTTCTATATAAAAAGGCTTGGCAGCTTCTCATAAGTTAAACCTACCCAGCGATCCCCCACCTACATATTTACTCCAGAGAAAGGAAACATGTTTGCGCAAAAGACCTGTAGGTGTCTAGGTTTTGCAAGATGAAGAGTTCTGAAGGCTGGTTAAATGACATGAATCTATTTGACATCACTGAACCATACATGTAAAAATGGTTAAGATAGTAAGTGTTATGTGCATTTTGCCACAAATTTTAAAAAAGTCAACATATAGCTTCTCATTAAAATATTATCTTTGTGCATTTAACTTATGACAATTCAACTACAGGCAAGTTCCCCTTTATTTGACTTTATTGATGACTTCCTGTCTCCCTACCCATTCAAACCAGACCCTAGTGTCCCCAAAGAAGGAACTTAACCCTTTCTTTCCCCCTACTCCACTTTATTTTCTGGCCAAGCCCCTATGTTTAAATTTATATGCAAGATGGTCTCTCATTATTTCTCATTTTTTTCTTGCTAATCATATTTTATTGCTGAGGAAATTAAAGTGCTGCTGAGGAACAAGAAGACAGGTTTGGCTTTTAGACCACACATGGCTCTCTTGGGTGGCACAGAAAATACTTTATGCATAAACTGATGAAGTAAATCACGAGAGCTCGACATCTTTTTTTGAACCATCAACACACACACAAAGATGTGTTTGCACTAACTCACTGTAGGATGTTTGGGGTAGAGTTGAATAAAGGTTGCATTGACCTTGCCCATAGAGAGGGGCGTCTAGCAGTGTAGCTGTAATGGCTTCCACAAAAAAGCAGAGTACTGAGCCATCTCTGAGAACTCTAACCTTGATTCTTATGAATTCTGGTTCACAAACAATTGCTATCCCATCATCTTGTAGAACTCAATCCTTCATACCCCTAAAGAATACACTTGGACAACAAATTGTTAGCTCTATTAAGTTACATACAGTTGAAAGAAAGGCAGCTTCATACACTGTGCATTTGTATCTCCTAAAAGCACCCAGCAGTGCTTTGCAAGCAGGAAGTAGTCAATGAATGGTTATTGAATTTAGAATGTCCTTCTTCCCAATCAGTGAGGTTTCATATATTTCCAATTGGAATGCCTATTAATTTTTCAGCATTAGTAAGCTTTTTAAAAAATCCATTTGGGGATGTGTATAAGAGTTCGCAGCAAAAACTATTAAATAAACGATTAAGAAAACACTGTTAAATGAAGCATGCTTATTCAACACACCAGCAGCCATTGATAAAATGTAATTTAATTTAATCATTTAAATGTACATGGTTAATATACAAGAGCATTTCTTTCAAATCACAGGTTAACACATACTAAAGAGCAATGCCGTTTGAGGAGCAGAGAAACTCTGGAAAACTCTGCTGTCTGAAATAAAAGCAAGGCACTCTCCATTAACAGCTGGTGGATTCCTGATTTCCGCCCACAGAAGGCAAGTTCTCACTGAGAGAGATCTCCCCCAAGGGAAGAATCACCTGCTTTAATTCTCGCTGTCCTCTTCTGCGCTGGTTTGGTCATCTACTGTATAAACTTGTGTGTCAATATTAAGACAAAGAAAGAGAGTTGGACCGATAGATGACTTGGGAGGCTCTCATAGTTGTAACAACTAGGAAGACAGAAGAGCACTGGCTACCATCTGTATTTTCAGCACTCGTGTCTGGACCAATGACTGAAAACCTTCTTTGTTTCTTCCAACCAATCAATATCATGGTTACAAAGTCTTTTCCTTAAATCTAATGGGTGTAAAAATAAAAAGTAACAGCATTTCACTGGGGCTCTGGTTTTTTTTGTTGTTTTCAGACATGACAAAACAAAACCAAAAAACCAAGGACTGACTTTCCAATACGAATGGTGCACGAAAGGATTATGTGTGCACAACACTTCTAATGTATTCAAATTCAACTTGAATTTTGTCTGAAGCTATAGATACCTTACTTGAAATGTTAGCTTTCCTGGTATTTAAAAATGTTTATTATGTTCACATATAAGCTGAAAAAAATAATGCAAAAGTACTACTTTACTCATGGTTATCAGGTAAAATGTAAGCTTTATGGGTTATTTTTAAAAGCCTGTTTTCCTATAGATGCAGTAAGTAGAGTAAGATGATGATGAAAAGGAGATTTAGGTCCTAGTCTTGACTCTGGTACTAGTTGCTTGCCCTTGAGTTACCCTTCACCCTTTGATGGGCCCGGGTTTTCTCCTCTATGAATTTCAGGGTGGGAGTGGACCAGTTGACAAGTCAGGCCCCTTCCAAGTCTAACTTCCTAGAGACTAAATGCCAGATCCTATCATCTTGATATAAAAATAATAATCTTTCATAAAAGTTCACACAAACATAATATATGATCAAATATCAGAATGACTCTCGGAAAAAACAGGATTTGCTATCTGGGTTACTTTTTGCAGTGATTAGGTAATTCATTTGGCATTTGACTGATAATTTCATGACAATATAAACAGCATAGTTTTGTTATTTTTCCTTTAAAAAAACTAACGCAAAAATGATTTAAAGCTAACAAAAACTACTGTGACATCAGTTTGACATTCAAAGTTTGTGGCTTAGCAAAAATGGCCAAAGATATTTTGACTTGATACAGAATATATAATATAAAGACTTTTAGGCCTAAAAATCTTCAAACATTATTTGAATTTAGCAAAACATAAGCAAAATTTTAATATCAAAGTGCTAAACAGTACTGCCTTAAAAGTCACTGCAAATGAACCATAAAATAACTGCATGGGAAGTCACATTTATTGTACAAATGGTTAATAAAAAGACACATTATAAATATATATGTAACCTGCTATATTTATATATATTTGCTTATTTAATTTCTAATTGGCGTATCCAAGCCACTGTGAACACCCAATTTCAGTACTCTGTAACTCAGCTTCCAGGAGCTGGTGGTCTTGCAATAAATACAGGCAAAGCTATTACAATATAACGTGCATACAAATGTTTATACAAATAAGGACACTATGCAACAAATTATCTCATAGTAATATGGCATTAACAGTATAAACATACAAAAGGGAGTACGAACACGGAATGTTGAAACGCAGCCCACTAAACCTTTCTAGTGCTCACATTCACACTATTTTTTAAAAAATAAGACTTGCTTGCTCTCCAAAATTGACTCTTTAACTGATAACAAAAATTAAATTACATATATTTTAAAAACCTTATTACCCCTGGTGTTTACCCTGTATGATCCAGTTCCTATCTATTTGCCTGTTCTTATCTAGGGATCAATCACTTGAGACTCATTAAATGCTCCTGGGCTTCTGAATGAATGTGTTGGTCAGTTGCTGTAACTGAAGCAAGTTTAGGGAACTCTGGATAGAACACAACCAAAGCAGTTGTATGCAACCCATCTCAGAAACTGAGCCCCCTTCAGGACAGCTGGACAGTCAGGGCAAGTATCTGGATCCACTAAGAATGGCCTGAAATCTTGGATGGCCCATACCTCAGAAGGGTTCTGTGGGGCAGGTGGACAAAGCCTCCGTTAGGAAATTAGCATCTGTCATTTGTAACTTGACCGCCTCCTTTTCACTTCCATATAAAATAAAGGAGAGTTCATAAACAAGACTTAGTAAGACAGCACTTTAAAAATTGCACTTGTATATGGAAGCAAACAGCCATTATCATTTTGCTATGTCTCATTTATAGGTTATCCTCCATCTTTCACCATTAGTTGAAATAGAGGAAGAAAGAAATTAAGAACAGGGAATTTGTGCCTTGTTTGCATCACCTACGTACTCTTGATACAGGAAGTGTGTTCTAAAGTGATCGTCTCAAGACAGGTCCTACCCTGGCGAACAACCCTTGGCTGTTCTTGTTTGTAAATACAAAGCAACTATAATTGTATTCCCCAGAAACAGTTTGAAAATCCTTTTTTCCCCCTGCTGGGATAGCATCGTCCAAAAGTGCTTTGCTAGCAATTTCTTAGAAAACCCTCATGAACTATAACCCCCTCCCGCCCCGACCCCAAAGCCTAAATATAAAACACAACTCCAACACAATACTCTGCAAGTTTTCTGGCTTTAGGTTGTAAAGAAAAGCGCCAGAAACCAAAAAAAAAGTCTTTCTTTTTGTCAGGAGCTGCTTTTTTCTCTTAAGGACGGACAGGCATGGGAGGTGTCCAGACCCATCCCTCTGCCTCTGAGCAAGCAGGTGCCAGCAGACAGGCGGCTCCCTGCTCAGGCTGCCCCTGCTCAGAAAGGCAGGGTGTCCAGGAAGAGCCTGTCGATGATGGAAGGTGGAGACACCAGGTCTTCCAGCTTCAGGTAGAAGATGCGCTGGAGGCCCAGGGTGCAGATCTTCCGCAGTTCTTCCAGGGCACCCCGGACCTTGGGCTCGGTGGGCTCCAAAGCCTGTCCCTTACTCTGGTGATCCTTTAAGCTGCTTGTGATCTTGTTGCATAGCTCCTCCACTCTCTTTGGTTCTTTTAACCCATGTCGTTCTGCAGAGGCATAGAAAAGGTTAAGTTTAGGAGGCAATTACATCTTAAGAAACTTTGAATCCCTCATCGAGGCCTGTCTTCCATTCTGCCCAGTTGGAATAGCATTTTACAATCAAAGTGCCCTCTCTCCTAGAGGTAGGTCATGCCCTTTGGTATCAAACAGCACCAAGGTTTAAATCACAGTCTGGCACTCACTGTGTGCCCTTGAGTAAGTCCCTTAAGTTCTCAACCTTGGTTTCCTCATAAAATAAAGATACTATCTATGCAGTTCAGGGTTTCTGGGGAGCCCAACTTAGGGGAATAACGCAGAGGAAGAGGACGGTTTCCCACACACAGCCACACTGGATGAATGACAGGATGGTTATTATTTTGTCCAGCTTGTCCTAGCAAGGGCTTACAAAAGCCTGTCAGGAGGCAACTCGTTTTCAGAGTGACCGGGAATCACATCCAGGCAAATAAATGAATGTTCCTGTCTTGACAGACCCACTTGGTGGGGGAGGCTGTAAGTTCCACTGGCTAATGCAAGGGCTGGCCCGCAAGACCCAAACCGAAGTGCACTCTTGTGCTTTCACGCTGACCAGCATTGAAAAGAATCCAGTTTTCCTTTTCCTTGTTTCCCCCCTTGAAACACCTATGGGCCTATACCTGGCAGTCTGTACAAAACACACATGTCCTCCTGCCATGGGGGCGGCAAAGTCAAAGGGGGAGGAGGCCCAGGAGGAGGCAGTGTGGGCATTCTATAGTGCAGGCAGTATGCATTATCGAATACCAGTATGCTGTTTTCTAAAGAACAATACATAAAACGATCCCCTTGTTAACGATCATGATCTCTTGTTTTATGCAGAAGGTTAAGTGATTTTCCTGAAGTCACACAGCTGCTAAAAGCTGGGATTTGGACCCTGTCTTCTAAGGCAGACTCTGTCCTCTTGCTCCAGAGCGACGTTACCTCTCCCTGTAATGAGGCAGCAGCCCGCTACCCAGTGCCAGTTACTTTGCTCTCTCGGCATGTAGAGGTCAGAGCCTTTGTTGAGACGAGACCTTGGCCCCTGCTATCTCAGGGTTTTTGTGATGCCTCTTCCTGGCCCCAGTCATCTCAGTTCGAGTCTCCCTCTCTCAGTGTATCCTAGACGTAAAGTAATAATTCATGAGAGATGAAAGACACAAATCCAATGGGAAATCATATTTTAGTTCCTAATGTTCCCCACTTTAAATTTTTTTACTTGGGGATATTTGTGTGAGAAAAGCTGCTTCCCTGTAGCCAAAATCATCAGAAAAACAAAGCAACCACCCAGACATTTTTCCCTTTTCTTGTCCCAAGTTAAAGGAGGCCCAAACACCAGGAGATCTGCATCCTTCCCCAGTGGGGCTCGTTGTGTATGACTTGGGTGCGTTTTTTCCTCTCTAGGGTCCATCTTAGAGAAGGAAGGTGGATTTAATGACCCCTAAGATCCCTCCCGGCTTTGAGGTGCTATCATTGTATTCAAGTCCAACTATGAAAATTGCCAGCAGCATCTCAATAGATTGTAACACGCAGGCATCTAGTCTCCATGCAACGTAACAATGCAACGTAACCCAGTTACATTTGGAGCCTTGCAACCCAGAGAAGAGGATGCTGGGTTTGGAGCCAGACCCGAGTTCCAGTTTCCATTCTATCACTTCCCAGTGGTGTGACCTAATCTCTCTGAGCCTCGATGTTGTCCTAGGAAAAATGGGTAGATATATGTCTTTGTTGTGCTCTTCGTTCCTTTCTGTGTGTCTAAAGTATCACACAATAAATCAAAAGAAAGAGTGCGATTGTAATAAAACCCACTGCCATAGGTTTTGTGAGGCCCAGCTGAGATGACGCTGCCTGACAGTGTTCTGTCAACTCGTGGTACAGTCAGCACCTAAGACAATGCCTGACACGTGGCCATGGTTGGCAACTGCAGGGTCAAAAAAAAAAAAAAAGGCAAGAAACACCCCTAAGCTATGCAGCGTATAATTATGCTTTCCCCAGGAAACTATTAGCTAATCAGCCCAGATGCAAATCTGTCCTCTATCATTTACCTTTACTTAATACATGCACTCAGGAGTGAACTTGAAGAGTAATCCAGCCTGCAGTGGTGTTCTGCCTAAAGTTTTATTCCCCCACCCAAAGCAAAAAGGAAAAAAAACCAGCAGACTGCAAACTTGGCAGTATATTTTAAGAGCTATAAAATGTTCATAACCTCTGACCAAGTAATACCACTCATGGGAATTTATCTGAAGAAAAAACTCAACAGAAGAATAAAACTGTGTGCATGAAGACATTTTGGGTAGCATTATCTAATTTAAAAACAGCAAAGAAAAAGAGGGGAAGAATAGAGGAACTATTAAGTAAAAGATAGTAATATCCACATAAGGGAAGATTCTGCGGCCATCAGAAAGGACCACTACTAAGGCTAAGAAGCAACGTGGAAAAATACATAATATCACATTAAGTAGAGAATAGAACATAAAATGTATCTAAGCTGTGATGACATCTATGTAAAAATTATTTCTGCATACAAATAAAGAGGAAAGAACACAGAAAAGTGAAAAACTTTATGAGATTGTCCGATAACTCTTTCTTTTAAAATTTCCAGGCTAATGCTGTTTGTATAATAAACAATGTTAAAATAGCACAAACAAGGATTTGGCCCTTCGCGGAGCTCTCTCGTAGCTATAACATGATCACACAATCATCATGTTGATTGTACATTCTATTAATACTGCGATCTACCAGATTAGGTTCATAACCCAGGGAGAGATTCTTCTTCCTGAATAAAATGCCAATCTATTGTTTTAAGCTTTCCTTTCCTTTCTGTGCCTCATGTCTTGAATTATATTCGAGATCCCATATCCATTATCAGAATAAAGAAACTGAGCAATGCTGTTGGCTGGATTTCGGGAGGGGGTTGATTATGGAGCCTTGCAACCAGACTTTCTCATGGCCAAACTCACAAAAGGTGCCTGGGAGGTTTCCCTGCTCTCCAACCAGTGGTGACTGCTCAATAACTATGGCAACCATTATTTATTCAGCGAATTCAAGTGAAGATCGATACCTCCTGCCAGCTGGATCAACGCTAGGCCTAGAATTCCTTGAGGAATTCAGAGACACTCCTGTTAGAAGCCAAAGGCACCTTCTTTGTTGTTTTGAACAGCTACTGGATTTGTGGCTTCTTTACTTTTTCAAAAGGGCCGATTAGATAAAATTCAGTCTCCATGCAAGCTACTGCCAGCAGCCAGCAAGGTTTTCCAATCACTAGGGAGTCACCAAGTGTCTGTGAGCTTCCTGGTAATTTGGAATTCCTCAAAACCCTGATTGCTGACACTTTAGTGGAAGGAACCCCCTTTCTTTTTGCAGCTTGGTAAACATGGCTGCAGAACTGATATTCAGAGAGTCCACAAATTCTGTCGGAAATCAGACATTTGAATTTTCCCCCTTCTTAGAGAATTATACACAGATGTTAGTTTAAGATGTTTGTCCTCCATTAAACAGAACAAGCTTCTCTCTATTTTTTGCATTTTGATTTACCTTATTTTTACCCAGCACTTCAGTATTTTAACTCAGCTTTATGTACTCAAAACTTTAAACTACAACTTATAGAATTGGCTAGTAATGAATTTATCTGTCAGAAGCATAGTACGTAGAAATAAAAAAGAATTTGAGTCACATTGTTCAAACACCCACCTAAGACAAGAATCTCCAGTACAAGGTATTACAGAGAATATCTGTATGCCAAGGTATTACAGAGAATATCTGTCTGCCTAAAGTTTTAGGCAGAACCAGCTGGACTAGGAGTTCATTATTTCACCTGATAATAAAATACAAGTGTGGGCAAAGTAGGTTTACAGTTGTTCAAATGGAAAATCATGCAATAATTTCTAAAAAATAATACAAGAACAAATTATATGTTTTGCGTACTCACAACCTTACGATCCTTTGAATTAAGCAGGACAAAGATAATCTTTATTTAATAGATAAGCTGTGAGAATTAAGTGACTTGCCCATGGTCAAAATTAACAGGCTGTTAATTTCTTTCACTCCAAGTTCAGAAATATTTCTATTACACCAGGCTGCCTTCGACATTATGTTAGAATGTTCCTCCTTGTTCTGAGATGACTCAGCTCCCTCCTACTTTCTGTGTACCTAATAAACTAATTGATTAATGACTTCCTTTAACAAATATTTATTGAGTACCTATTGTGTGCCAAGCCATGTTATAACCACCGGGGTTAAAGCAGACAACAAACAAACAACCGATGGCACTCCTAACCTGTATGGCATTAGCATCTAAAGACACTGTTGGATTCCTGTGCATTTTAGCTATCCATGCCATAAATATCTCCTCTAAGAGAGAGAGAAAGGGAGGCAGGGAAGAGGAGCAGAGGGGAGGGAGAGGGAGGAGCAAGAGTGAAGGAATGAGAGAGAGGAGAGAGAGAGAGGAAAGGGAGAGAGACTGAGTGAAATAACAGAGCTACTTAGCCCTGTGCTCATGTTTTCCATTCTTCATCTAATTAAAATCTACTCATTCTTAAATCACAGATCGAATATTTCTTGAAGGAGGCTTTCATTTTTTACTCCTAATCTAGATTCTTTTTTCTATTTTTTCTCTCTGAAATCAGATATCTATGTGACTATTGCCTGCCTCCTCCTTTAAACGTCAGCTCCGTGGGGGCGGGGACCACACCTGCTCAGTGTTGTATCTCTAGCACCAAGCCTCCTACACAGCAGAGACACCGGAAGCAGAGAGACCAGGCCCCACGTGGATTCACTGATGCTCACTCACTCAGGACATATAGTCATTGAGGACAAGAGCCTGCACTCTTTTAATTTTTCTCTTCTTGCTACTGAGATTATATATGTGACTTAACAAATGGTTAATGCAACTCCATTGTACCTGCTTTTGCTCAAAATGCACTCAAGTGTTCCCCTGTCATGACCTTGCTATGCTGTCTCCTTGATTTGCAATGTCCTTCCTCTTATCTTGCTATGTATAGATATCACCTCCTTGGGAACCCATTCATGACCAGCACCTTGGTCTTTCTGCACCCCTAAAAGGCCAGCACCGAATCTGGACTTCCTCTGCACCAAATCTGCTCCCTTTAAGGACCCGAGCACTAACCACCATACATCAAGTCCCTTGCATCACAATCAGACATGACTTCCTCATAGGCTGTCTATTTTCTGACAGCAGGACACATACATCCCTGGAGACAGACACCCCACCTGATGGCCCTCAATATTTGTTTAATGAATGGGTACTTGTAAAATAGTAATTCCAGACGAACTTTGGGGGGGGGGCTCCTTATTTATCAATCTTATTTAACTGCAACTAGATATCACCTCATTGGTACCCCATCAGAAGCAAAGCATTTTTATTACTCTCTGTAAGGCATGCGGCACTGGCAAAAAGGAATGGTTAAGGCAGATGAACAGGGGACCGAAAAGCATTTAACAACCACAACTGTGGGGAACTCCCGTTTACTGGAGGGAAGGACCGCGATCGGAAAGAAACCATTTCCTGCCCCACCTCACCGCCCAGTTTTTCACAGAGAGGTGGAGGAAGAAGAAAAGAAAGAATCAGAAAAAAAGCCATGTTTTGCAAACTATCAGTGCTGTCCAGATGCTTAATTTTCCTGGAAGCAAAACTGGTTAGCCTTCTAAGACCCTGTTTCCTTTTCATGAGTTCTCTGTGGTTTCGGAGCAGACACTTTTGGGCTGTGTGTTTTCTGATGCCAATAGCCCGAGTGATATTCCACAATCACCCTTTCCGATCAATGGAGCTTATTCAGCAATCAGGATTTCACGGGAGCCCATATTCAAATGAACATTAATATCCAGAACAATGCACCCTGCTGTTTCCCAGGCATTGCCTTTTCTGCCACTTCCTGATGCCTTCACACATTTCAAACCCCCTCCCAAGCAGCAAATCACAAAAAGAGTACTGTAAGGTCCAGAAATGAGAGAAGAGGGGGTTATGTATGTTGTAACCACAGCACCTCACATAACCGGCTCTGCACAGGCCCGCAGGCCCGAGGGCAGGAACTGAACTCCGCCTAAAAGGCTTAGAGCATTTTAAGTGCAGCTTAATTCCTTTAATATCATTTTCCTTCTCCGAGCCTCTCTCAAACATCCGAGAAGACATTCAGCAAACATACTGCCTTCCAAGATCACCACCTGTTTCCTCGTGTCGCTGAGCCTGGTTTTGGACTACGCAGGGTTCCCAAGGGCAAGGCGTGGGCATGCACCTAACTTGAGGGAGTCCCTGTCCCCATCCCTCCAGGATGGGACACAGGTGATCGAGTGCCTCTTCTGAGTCCTGTTTGGCTGCATCGCAAACCTAATTTGAGGTAATCTTTGCTGCCTCATAGAGTAGATGTTGTTATCCCCCTTTTAAAAAATGGGAAAACAAAAAAAAATGGGAAAACAGAAATTCGGAGAAATAAAACTGTACCTTACCCAGTGGCACTTACCTTATTAAATATGGGACCCCAAGTTAAAACCTGGGGGGGGAGCTGGGTTCCCCAGTCCACGCTATTTATACTGTGCCACATGGCCTCCTCCCTGAGCAAGTCTCCACGTGGCCGGTGGGCTGAGCAGCCAACACCACGGGACACACGGCAAATGCCGGCACAGGACTGGCACCGCCTTCTCATCCCTACTGTCCGATCACTCCAAGTTGGGACTGTCTGGCCTCACCGTTGTCTACTAATATTTACTTAAAGAGTAACAGAACGACAACAACAACAAAAAGACACGGACCTCAGGCCCTCCTCTTAGACTACAGCTCTCACACCTGGACGGGCCTTTCCCCTCTTAGTCTCTCTTCTGCTACAATTTGTGCTCAAAACCAGCTGTCGCGGTAGATCTTCCTAAAAGGCAAGCCTCACCCTGATGCTCCTCTGGTCAAAACTTTGTGTGGAATCCCACAGATCCCCTCAAGATCCGCTCTGACCGTCTCACCTATGTGTGAGAGGTTCTTCGCGTCCCACCCCACCCGTACTTCCAGCGGTCGAAACGCCATGCTCCCTAGTTTTGAACGTTTAACTGTCCTAGGAAGATCTGAAGGGTGTTGAAGTTGAGCTGAAGCACTTTAGTTGAAAGGCAGCCTTTGAACCCATTTCATTACCGTCCTGCTGGAGTAGTGCGCTTATTTTCTTCGGGTGTACCCGGTTGGAAAGTCTTTTAAATAGAATCCATACCCTTAGAGTCTGCCTTTATTTTTGTTTCATTAATGACTCCCTTGGAAGTCTTTGGCAGCTGTCATCAAAAAGAAGGAAGTTTTACCCTGGCCAAGTGGCTCAGTTAGTTGGAGCATCATCCCTTACACCAAAAGGTTGCAAGTTCGATTCCCAGTCGGGACACATACAGGAGGCAACCAATCCATGTTTCACTCTCACATCAATATTTCTCTCTCTCTCTCTTTTTCTCAGGTCAATAAATAGACATCTTTGGGTGAGGATTTAAAAAAAAAAGAAGAGGAATGGAGTTACTGAGCCAGGACCAAAGACCGAGCAGAAGTGAGGTCCCACTTGGAACACTGAAAGAACAAGTTGGTCTGTGACTCCTACTCTAGCACGTGCCGGTTAATTTCCTTCGCCTGCACGTATGTTATTCATTGATGAATCAGCTTAACTTCTTAAGGTACTTAGATAGATCTCACAAGGCTGTGCTTCAGTCTCATGAAAAGAACGGGAGGTGAGCCCTGAGTCTGGCCAGCCTCCCCTGGAGCCGCCACCAGCTGTCACCGCCTCCCCGGGCCCCAGTCTGGCCGAGAAAGATGGGATCAAACTGGAAACTCTGAAAGCATCAAGGCACAAAGGGAGCTCGGGCCTCGGGAGCAGCCACAGGGAGGTGCCATCTCCTCTCTTACCGACATGACTTTCTAGTTCTCGCTCTCTTTCATGCTTTCTCTCATTCTCCCTCATTCCATCTTGGGACCAAAAGATAAAAGATATCTTTTACCTCCCAAAAGATAGAAGGGGGGAGATGTGTAGGGAGAGAACAGCATTATATAGAAATTGAATATGTTTTATGCTTCTGTTTCTAAACTTTTTTGGTAAGTTTTTAAAATGTTTTAATACTTTATTTATTTATCTTTAGACGGGAAGGGAAGGAGAGAGGGAGAGAAATATCAATGCATGGTTGCCTCTTGTGTGTCCCCTGCTGGGAACTGGCCCCTGCTAGGAACTGGCCTGCAACCCTGGCACATGCCCTGATGGGGAATCGAACGGCAATCTTTTGGTTCGCAGGCCTGTGCTCAATCCACTGAGCTATATACCAGCCAGGGCTGTTTCTAAGCTTTTTCAAATTATCAAGTTGAGCCATTTCTGTTGTTTATAAATTTTCCTCGGTCCTCTGCCAAAGCTGTTAAATAAAGTTATAAATAAATAAGTAAATAAATGTGTGTTGTATGTGTGTGCGATTCTTTGGTTTTACTCGGGGTCAGTAGCCCAGGACTGGGGACCGGGGAGACTTGCCCCTCTGCCCCACGGGAACAGGCTGGGTAGAGTGACCTTCCTTTGAAACCTCATGTGGAAATCACCCTGAAGCAGCTGGTTCAACTGCCAGCAGGGTGCCTGGGGAAATTCCCATTTTCAGATACTGAGCTTGCTGACAATGGTAACCCAACAGGAGATGTTCCTGGAAGTGCAGGACAATAAGTTGCAGATACGTCGCTTGTTTAAGCTGGGTGAAACATAGCACATTTCAGAAAAGTGGTGATCAGTTTCCTCATATTCTGGTGTGTGTGACGGCCAAAGCCACAGTCCACGTTGACACAGGAAAGGAGAGGAAGGGGGTGCGCTCCTTTGGGGTGACCGCAGGGCGGTGCTTACCTGTGATCATGCTCAGTGCTGACAGGCATGCTAAGGCTTGGATATCAAGGTTCAGGCTCTTCAAACTTAAGGAAAAGTCTTTAATGGAGTCGAGCCACTCCCCAAATCCACGAAGGCACTGAAGTCGATGCAGGACAAGTCCATTGCAGAACACAAACTTATCTTCAGCAGTGTTTGACCTGCAGGAGAAAAGTCATGGGGTGGAGGGGAGAGACACATTAAATAGGTCTATTTGGTCTGTCCAATGGGAAACTATCACAACACACAGGGACCTGGACAGCTGTGGGGCGCTGTCCAGAACCCAGCGCGGTGCCGTCACACCTGCCGGAACACCCTTGATGACAAGACTGCACTCCTGGGATGCACAACCGCAACCCCTTGTCTATGCCAACTTCCTAGGTGAGCACCACACGTGGTCGCAGACTCACCCTGGAACAGGACACTGAGGAGCAGGTGCTCCTGAACTATGGAGGTGAAGCTCAGTGCTCCACCTCTCTCTGCAGTGAACCAAGGCGGTTCCCTCCTTTTCTTAAATGTCAAAAACCGATAAGGCCTGAGGCAAGACACTATGATTCCACTGCTCGGACTCTGAAACCAGCAAGCCCCTGCAAGCGCTGGAAATCGATCACAAACTAAAAAGTGGCTCAAAATAAAAAAAACCCCTTATTTGGTATTACCTTCTCTGCTTTTAACAGTGGGGCTGTGGAGGGCTATTCCTAAACCTGTGCCGATAATGTACATTATGTCCATATACATCCCATACTTCTCTCATGAAAGGCACCCTGGAACTTGGAGGTGGACATCACCTCTCAGCCAGGGCAGGCTTGTGTGCTCCTTTACTTTCTCTAAGTTGCCTTTTCCTTATGTCTAAAACACGAGTTCTAACTGCTACTTCCTAAGATTGTTGTGGACATTCAATAAAATACAGGATCTGAAAGCCCATGCATATGCTTGGTACACAAGAGGAGTATTAGGTATAGTCAATCCTGAATTCTATGGGATCCTAACACGAGTCTCAGCCTCCCTTTAAGTTTCAATTCTCTTTCCACATAGTTATCTCTTTCAGTCTACTGCACTAACAACCTAATATCTCTGTAACTGTGCCTCTTGGAGGAGTAGCTTCATTCATTCATTCACTCGTCAAGTACTTCCTGAGCACCATGCACGTGCCATTCCTAGACCCAGGTGCTGGGGAAAACTTGGTGAATAGAGCATATATAGTATAGTGCCTGCTCGCATGGAGCTAGCCATCTACTTCATCCTTTGCTGCCTGCCTAATAGATAACAGTCACATCACTGGTTTGGCTTCTGCGTACACTGAATTAGCTGTCAGGGTGCCAATTACTGGCCCTCTAGTTGCAATTCCACCTCCGTCTCCTCCACAGAGGTGCGCAAGGACGGAATGGGTCAACTTCAGAATTTAAAACCTGGACCTCAGACCACGGGCATCAGAATCACTGGAGCAGGAGGTAAAATGCAGATTTCTGGACTTCTTCTAAGAGAGCGCCAAACTGAAATAGCTGGGGAATGACACGTGGGAATCAGCACTTTACACAAGAGTTTCTGGTAACATAGTGTGAAATTGTGGGGAGGGGGCAGTTAAGGAGGAAACTAAGGGGAAAGGGGATTTTTTCCTATGATATTTGGTGAAATGTTGGTACCATCTCCTAAAAATACATAACTGTAAGGAAGCATGGAAGATTGAATTTAAAATGCTACAGGTGGACTTGATGAGATGGGCCGAGATCCCAGGTTCCAGTTTTTGGAAAAAGAACTTCCACTTTGTGTTTGGCATCATTGAGTATGACAGGCTGATCCAAATCTTTTGATCCAGGAGCTATTCTCTTGGAGTAAACACTGGGGGTTGAGAAGCGGCAGGAACTCTTTACAGCCACATCTGGTGCACTAGAACAGTGACTTTTAAATAGAAACCAGTGAGGTAAATGCAATGTTCAAAGCAAACACTTGCTCCCAGGAAATACCTTATGCACCATGCGACTCTTTCTAGAATCACAGAGTGCTAGAGTTGCAAGGGGCCTCAAAGGTCACCAGATCCAACTTCCTCAATTTACAGGGAAAGAAAGTGAACTTCCGATGAGGCAAGGGACCTGCTCAGGGTTTCACAGCAAGCCTGCAGTAGAACTGAGGGTAGAACCCAGGAGTCCCAGCTTCCAGTTCAATACCCACTACTCGGTTCTTTTAAATTTAGTTTTTGATTTTAGAGAAAGAGAGAAAAGAGAAAGAGAGAGAGAGCGTCGACCTGCCATTCCACAGTTGACTGTGCTCCGATCAGAGATGGAACTTGCAGCCTTGGCATGTCAGGGAGGTACTCTAACCAACTGAGCTACCCAGCCAGGGCCCCTACTACTCAGTTTTTTAAATGCTGATCATATTTTATATTTCTTTCTTGAGCAAACTCCTCTCTGATGACTCATCTGCAAACATAGCAGGTTTCAAACTTCTTCAAAGGAAGGAGAGGACTAGAGGAAGATAAAATAATAGTAATTACCTGATGGACAGTCTGAGAACAAACAGCTCCAAAAAGGCTGATTCTATAAGTAATGTCTGATCTTCTTTGGGGAGATCAGTGAATCCGGGGATCTTTTCTGCCCAGCTTCTGGATACGTCAATGGAGGCTGTCAGAAGGTCGTAGAACTGTTGTACGTGCTCAGCATCCGTGCCCGCGGCGGCCTGGTCAGTGGGACAGTACTAGAAAGCAAACCGCAGACAGCCGTGTTATCTCAGTTTAATGGGGAAGACAGCGCCTTTGCTAATGGGCTCTTCCAAGACTGTCTGAGCCTGAATCTTTACTTTCAGGTCCCGCAGTTTACAAAGCCCTTTTGCATTCACAGTCTCTGGTTCTCACAATGGCCCATGATGCAGAGTGAATTTTGTTATCACTTGATAGACAAAGAAATCTGTGGAAGTCACATCAGTGCAGTGGTTTTCAATCTTGACGACTGCCATCGCCTGGGGAGCTTTAAAAAAACGCTCATGTCTTTATCACCACCATGGAGATTCTAATTTAACTGGTATGGGTTGAGGACTGGTCGTGGGGACTTTTAAAAACTCCCCAGGTGATTCCAAAGGGCAGCCAGTGCTGAGAACGAACACCTCAGGGATTTGTGTCCACGTGAGCCTCCAGGATCTACTGATTCCACTAAAGCACAGCTGTCTCCAAATAAGATGCTTAATCAACCCATGGTTCTCCAAGTGTGGTCCCCACACCAGCAGCATCAGCAACACCAGGGAATGTACTAGAAAGGAACATCTCAAACCCTGATCCAGACCCACAGAATTGGAAACTCTGAGAGTAGGCCCAAGAAACTGTATTATCAAGATCTCTCAGTGATTCTCATGCACACTGAAGTTTGGGAATGACAGAATGAATGAACAGGAGAAGAGAAGGATTTTTGCTTTTTGTAGATGAATTTCTGTGAGACAAAACAAACCAGGAAGAGAACGGGGAAAGGGTGTCCCCTTGGCAGGGCCCCGGGAGCTGTGCACCATCAGACTCAGAACTTGTGGCTACTTAAATTAATGAAAATTAAATTAAAGATTCAGTTCCTCAGTCACATTAGCCATAGTTCAAGCTTAAGAGCCATGTGTGGTGTAGAGAGCATTTCTGTCACTGCAGAACATTCTATTGGACAGAATCAACCTAGAGGGTCCCCGGAGAAGAAAGACACAAATAGGAAAAAAGTCTCTCCCCAGCTTTTGGATATTCTGGTAGAGTCAGGGTTTTGCCTGAATCACAGGAAGAAAATCTTTCCTGCTTCAGGCAGAAAGATTGAGACAGCAAGTAGTAACGAAGAGACAGCCAACAGCACAGACAGACCTGCAGCAACACTCCTGCAGATACGCACATCATCTCCCTCACACAAAGAGGTGCATGTGCTTTCCCATCCCTTATCTCCTGGGGTATAAATCTTAATTCCTATGTTATAAACGAGGTAACTGAGGCTTGGAGCAGTGCTGAGGGCTACGAGACTTTTCCGAGTTACGTAACCAACAGCGGTACAGCCAAGACTTAAACGTGGCCTGTGGTTTCTGGCCTACCACGCCTGGTCATTAATGACGCCTGACGTCATTAGCTGGTAGCCTGTGGTACAGTTTTACAAAAGCATTTGACTTCACCCTAATTGGAGGTCTCCAGATATGTATTCATTTGGCCCCCTGTTTTGCCAGCAGCACAGTGACTGGCCCATGATTAACCCTCCATCAGAAGTTGTCGCACATTCTTCAATGAATGAAGAGGCGAGAGTGCCTAGGGTTGACCCAATGCCCTAACCTGGCTGGAGAGGCAACAGCCAATAAGCAGCCAGATCCTTACTGGAGACCTACTTAGGTAGGAGGAAATGAGGCACTCATCGTAATTGGGTCTTTTTTCTTCTTTGTGCTTTCCCAAGAGGCATCATAAAATAACAAAAGAAACAACAGACAAGGAGGCGAGCTACTTTAATCCTAGATTTGTCCAGTCCCCTAATTTGTGATATAATGTAGCTCTGCTGCTTCAGTTATCTGGGGTGAAGGACTTCACGTTTCTGAGCTTCGGTTTTCTCCTCCGTAAAACCGGGACAATACCTTCTCCAGGACTTTGTTGCAATGATTAAATGTGATAATGTATGTGAAGGTCCTGACACACAGAACGCGTTTCCCGGACAAGAGTGATGATACTGATAACAGTGATGATACTGATAACAGTGACGAAACTCTCACTGTCCCTCAGCCTCTACATTTATGAGAAGGGGGAGGTTTCTACTTTTCAGCCCCAACTTTCTAGCATCCTATAACATCAGGTCCGGTTCAAAAACCCCTGGGTCCTCTGTTCCCAAAAATCCCACCCAGGGCCCAGATTCTAAGAAGCCCTGGACGATTCTGTGATGTAACAGAGCAAAGTCCTGTGCTTAGTTAAGGATGGCAGGCCAACCCCGGGGTCTGGAGAATAGAAAAAGGGGATTTTATTTTACTTTTTCAACTTTCTCCTCTGCTACGAATCTAATTCCATATACTCTCGAAGGGCAAGCTGAAAACCAGGGCAGAAGCCCCTTTGGAAAGCTGCCAGCACTACACGTGAGGCTTCCAATGAGTAGTGACATGGAGCAGAGGCAGCAGCAGGTCACAGGGGCCCCCTCCTCCAGGCTGGGTCACTGACTTGCTGGGTGGCTCTAGACACGCCACTTAGTTCTCTAAGTAGGAAGTAGGACTCGACTGCAGGAGCTGATCCCTAAGATTCCTTTTGGCTCCTGCATTCAGCTATCTTCTGTCATTGATTTCTAGTTTAAGTCCATTGTGGTTTGACAGCAGACACTGTATGATTTCCATTTTTAAAAAGTCGCTAGGGTGTGTAGTCAGTATGGCCCAGAGTGTCAGCAATCCTGGTGATGCTCCATGTGATGGCTCTTGCGTGCAACGATTCTCCCTGTGGCTAATCACACCAGGTGTGATGTTGTTGCCTAGAATTTGACCTTGATTCAGCATTATTTTGTTTTAAAATAGTGTGCGTTACATGAAGAGAAAAAGACTAAAGGTGTAGACTTTTTCCTGGGAATGGGACCCAACGGCTCCCTTCTGCGCTGACTTCCCTGAAACCGTGGCTCACAACTCAATAATCTCTCTGCTTCTAATATTTGCTCACCATACTCCAGAGCACTTAGCTTTCACCCAGGGTCCTCTGTAGGCCTCTGCCCCTGCTGGGCTCACATTTCACGCATCCTGCACACAGGGGAATGCCGTCCCTGCCCGCTCTGCGTGTGCTGTTTTCTCTGATGAAGCCCAGCAAGGAGGAAAGCCAGCAGGCCTGGCCTGGCGGGCTCCAGCCAGACCCTCGGGGCTTCACCTGCGGTGATTCTAGTCCACGTCCCAGTACTCTGGAGCCAGATTAGACACACCCCGAGCCGCCAGTAACTTGAGGGTGAATTGAGGGTCAGCATCCAATGCTGAGGGAAAAGACAAACCAAGTATCCCCTCTACTTGAACGTAAGATTTAAAGAAACACAACTAAACCAATAAAAACTATATTAAATGTTGCAAAAAGATAAATATAACAACACATTTTAGATCCTTTCTTTGCCTGGCCTAGCACTTTATAAAGACCTCACTGAGCAATACTGGACCTGGACTCGGAAGAACCAGCCCCCCATCTCTGCTTGTGTGTTCCCCTATGCTACTCTCCCAGGGCAGGTTTGGGGTTCACCAAGGAGAATCTGGAAATATTTGTTTATTGGTCATTCCAATCAAACTTAGGCCAAATTGAGAAAGATCTTAGAAATGAATCTTTTTTTCCTGTTTATGCTAACTTTTCATTCTAGCTTTCATGGATAATTGATCCATCGAAAACCTGATTTTCAGTCAAAGACACAGTATTACATTTCCTGACCCCCAACGTCTAACGGTGATTTCACCAAAGCACCTGGGATGAGAATCTGGAGCTACAAACAACAGTGCGAGTTAATGAAACTGAAACGAGCCTACACATTTCACATGGCAATGAGGTGGCTGCACAGGGCAGACTGCAGGCAGAGCCCAGGCCTGAAACACACGATGAGAATGGGAACACCAGCCCTGCAAAAAATTCAGCAATGTGATACTTTCCTAGCAGCATGGAATCTGGTATTTACTCTATCTCACTTGTCAGTCCAGGCTAAGCATGTAAAATACCCTCAGAACATTTTCTTACAATGCTCCTTTCCCCTGCATCTTTATATAGTTTAGATGTGACCATCCTGTAAACCAAACCGTATATACCTATTCCTACGTTTCTATACTTTAAAAAGCGACACTTTAAAAATTGGCAGTGAATGTATTTTTCCCCACATGTATTTTTTTCTTACCTAATTAACTCCCCTTGAAAACAAAACCAGAAGCAAACAAACAACCCCCCCCCCCCCCTCTGCTCACCAATAGCATCACTGCAGTTACTGGTTTGCTTTCTCCTTCCTTCGTGGCAGGTAAAGCTCTATGAAGGCAGGTGCTTTTCTTATCCAACAATGTGTCCCTTGCTCCAGAACAGTGCCTGACACCCAGGAGCCATTTCATATATACTTTTTAAAGGGGGTGAAATTAAACATTTTTAAAAGATTTTATTTATCTTGCCCTGGCTGGTGTAGCTCAGTGGATTGAGCATGGGCCTGTGAAGCAAAGGGTTGCTGGTTCGATTCCCAGTCAGGGCACATGCCTGGGTTGCAGGCCAGGTCCCCAGCAGGGGACACATGAGAGGCAACCACACATTGATGTTTCTCTCCTTCTCTTTCTCTCTCGAGCTTTCCCCTTTCTCTAAAAATAAATAAATAAAATACTTAAAAAAAAGATTTTATTCATCTCTAGAGGGGAAGGGAAGGAGATAGGGAGAGAAATGTCAATGTATGGTTGCCTGTTGCGTATCCCCTGTTGAGAACTGGCCTGCAACCCAGGGATGTGCCCAGACTGGAAATCGAACTGTGATCGTCTGGTTCACAGGCCCGCACTCAATCCACTGAGCTACACCAGCCAGGCCATATACTTATTAAATGAACTAACTGCTTTCTTAAAAATCTATATTCCTACTACTCATTTCTTGTCAGCCCAAGAAAAGCTAGGAAATAGGAGATTCAAAGTAAAATTGAGTTGTTCTTATTAAAGTATATTGATGGTTCTTAAATTTTAATGTGCTGATCATCTGAGGTGCTTGTAAAAATAGTGATTCCTGCCTGCCTTCTCCCTTCCCCCAATTCTGATACAGTAGGCCTGGGCATGGCCAGGGAATCTGCATTTTAAGCAAACACCCTGGTTCTTTCTGACAGAGGCAGTCTGGGCGCCACACTTTGGGAAATGCTGACCTGTTACAGCAGGCATAAGGATCAGAGAGTCAGGGAATGAGAAGGCTGGAAGGGTCACGGGCGTGCACTTAGTCCAATCTCCTCACCATTCAGATGCAGGAACTGGCCTGAAATCATCTAATGAACTGGTGGCCGTCTCAGAGGAGCCTCATGAAACCACTGTCCGCAGAGTTTTCATGCTGTTTACTTTGTAGGTCTGACACGTGTTGGCCATGTTATTTCTCAAGCTATCTTGTTAACATACTTAGATGCCGTTTGCTGGTGCCTGGTTTTATCTAGGCAGTATCTCTTGTGTTTGGCGTCTGTTCCTACACTGACACCAATTACCAGAAGACATCCCAGTTTGCTGAAAAATACTTGAAATGACCAACTAATGAGGAGGTTAAGTTTACTTTCTCATTAGTAATTATGCAGGCTCTGAAACCAAGCCCAGTATCTATATACACTCGTATTGCTAAATTAAAAGCAACTGTGGGGCAGGGAATAGCAACATTTTAAGAAGAAACAAATCAAATGTGACATGTTTTGACTGCACTGATATACAATGATCTGAGCTCAATTTTGAAGGAGAGGAGTTTGGCCCAAAGGAAACGTGAAGGCCCCAGAGCCAGGAACACTTCACAAAGCGAGCACTCTCTTTCTGGCCCTGAAAACGCTCATTCCCTCTGTGACTTGGAACCAAACTCTTCCATCTCCTTTCCCACCAATGAGGAAAGCGGCTTCACTACCTTAAAGGCACATATGCCGATACAAGACGATTGGAATGTACACACATGTCTGGCAAATGTGTCTTCATTTCTCTATTTGCCTGATTCACTGAGGGAAGCTAGTACCTTTTATACATTGTTTCCATCCAACCAACTGTCTGACTCCAACCTGACAGGGCGAATTCCTCTTTAAAATGTAATAAATTATGGATACACACCACTGCTGTTAATGGGCAGGAACAAGTGAGGAGTGTGACATTTTTCACTTTATCCCCTTCTAAATGGTTTGCCTTTTCAAAAAGCAATGGATATTTATTAATATTATCGTGATTTTTAAAAACCTAGTTACATTGCCATATAATAGAAGTGGCAGCACGGTGAAATGGAAACACATTCAAATGCCCTGAATGACGAGATTTAGAGCTAGGCTGAACTCTGCCACTGACCTTGGGTCAGTCACTCAACCTTTGGAAGCCTCTATTTATTCCTGTGAAAATACAGGGGTTGGATTAGGTGATCTCAAAGTTGCCTCCAGTTGTATACATTCATAAATTTAAAGTTTTAAGGAGAAAGTATTATGAAAATTGAGTTTCAATGAATGACATTCTTAAAAAAATTACCAGAGCCATAAATTATAGCACAGAAAGCTGGGGCTTAAGTACTAGGCACTTAAATTCATCTTGCTTCATTTATTTTATGCTGTTTTTTTTTTTAGAGAACAAAGCAAGTTCAATCTTATTAAATAACAAGTTACTTAAAATGTATATATATATACACACATATATATATATATATATATATATATATATATATACATAAAATCACTTGCATTTGGGGATAATAAGCTAAACCCCAGAATCATAAAATCTTGGAGCTGGAAAGAATTTAATATCATCCAAAATAGCCTCTCTGCTAGTGAGAAATACTGTTACATGTGCTTATTCATTCCTTTTATTGATGATCACAGCTTCCACAGTAGCTAGCTCTTGTAGCTAAGAGAGCTCATCCTTGTCTTCAGGGTGATCTGAAACAGGCTCCCTCCTTCTTCCTCCAGATCTGCCCTTGAGAGCTATAGTCCTTTTTGCCACAGGGCAAAACAGGGCCCTAATCCTGCCAAACCTTCTCCCTTCCTGTCTACATATGGTCATTTCCTCCAATCATCCCTTACAAGTTTCCAGAAACAGTATGTCCACATCCCCCTTAAACCCAGCTTAGAATTGGACTCAACCCTGACAGGTGGTCTGATATATATAGGACAGAGTCCATGGGACCATCCCCAACTTGGTTTTGGTACCACACTCCTGCTGCCCAGGGTAATTTAGCATCTCTCTCTTCCACCACACATCACGTATCCTCTGTTGCTTCATTGCAAGAGTGTATGGAACAGACTCCCAAGATCTTCTTAACATGGACTACTGACAGGCCAAGGCCCTCCCATGTTTTTAAATTCTAAATGCTTAGCTTCACATTTATTTTTGTTAGCTTCCTCCATGATGGTTTCAGCCCATCCTGTTCCAACCTGTCGAAATCACTCTGAATGTTGATATGACATCCATCATATTAGCAATCCTTCCCAGCTTCCTGTCATCTGCAAATGTGATCAGCATGCCTTTTCTGCCTCCATCCAAGTTTTTGATAAAAACTCAAAGTTAATTGATTTGGGTCCAATTTTTGATAATGTTGTAAAGCCATTTACAAGCAAGAGAATCCAAGCTGGGAGGTTCAACCTGATTCCAAAACAATGCAATTAAAATAAATACACTTTACAAAATTGAGCCAGGCCCCAAAGGTAGACCAATGTGACCCAGACTCTATCATGGTCAATCTGCTATTTCGGACAAAGTTAACAATTAAATTGGATAAATGTTTGTTGATGAGGATGATGACTCTGGTCTAACACACTGAATGGTGCAGAGGCAAGCAAACATGCTGGATTGATTTCTCGGCATGGAGACAGTTCCCAGCTGGGACAACTCAAAGTGCTGGGAAGGATTTGCCCCTGAATAACTGAGTAGTCCATGTTGACCGATAATTGAATTATTAGGGGCCAAAAAATCACTTTTGGAGCCTCAATTCTCTGGCCAGACCACCAAAAGTGATTTTAAATATCCTGGAATAATGGAAGATTGTGCTATGTAGTCTTGGCATGGGCAGTGCCAGAAAGCTTCATTAAGTCAGAAAAATTGCCCGAGGGGAGGCTGGAGTCCTTTCAGGGAGAAGGTCTTCATTCCCAGCATGCTCTCACACTGAAACCAGACAGGTACAAGCTCAGTATTTGAGCACAGACTTTGGGGTCAAATACACTCGGTGTCTAATTCTATCTCTGGTGCACACTAGCTTTATGATCTTGGGCATTTGTTCAGTCCTTTAGCCTTTCTCAGTTTTAATCTCCAGATCTTTGAAACAGAGATCATAACACTTACCTTAAAGGTATTGCTACATGGCACCAGGCATGTGAAGTGTTCATACTCATTAGAACATTCGACAGATGGTGAATGAGGTTTGGTCACAGAGATGACACACAGGGAGGGCACTGTGCTAAAGACTTGACGAGTGTCATCTTACTTCATCTTCAGAAACCCCAGGAAGTAGATATTATACCTGTTACACTATAACATGGATGAGGAAACTGAGGCACTAAAAGGTTTAAGCAGATGCTGAAAGTTACCCAGCTACTAAATGATGCTTCTGGGACTTTAATCGAGGGGCCTGCATGGTTCCAAAGCCCAAGGCCTTAGCCACTCCATTATTATGCTTGACTGTTATTTGAGATGTGCCTTTAGTCAAGAGACACTACTTGTAATCAGAATAAGAATCCTCAACCTTTGGTGCTAAAGATCTATTATCCTTCTCCTATGAAGTCTGTGATCAAGTGATGAGAAGAGGCTTCACAACCATAATAAGTATAGGGGTGGGGGAAGGAGAATCGAAGTGGATGTACCAATCACAACACTGTAAGCTAAAAGGAGGCACACTTACACTCTTTCCCAGCTGTTCAACAACAAGTCTGAAATACTGATTAGACCTGGGGAGGAAACTCTGGTAGTAGCTGCCAAACCAGACCAACCAACTGGGGATCCCTTGACTAATAGCTCTCTGATTTGTGTGCAAATTGTGTTTCTAAGTTTTCTTGTCTTACATTGAGGGTAGCTATCCCCATAGTTCATGGCTCTTTAAACGGTTAAATGAGACAATCTACCACAGTGTCTAGCATGTAGAAATTGCCCAATAATTGTAATCTTTTTTATTCCTTTCCCTCTCTGGCGAGACCCTGTCTTACTGGAACTTTGCTTTCCCAAGTTTTTTTAAAACCTGCCTTAGGGTAACGTTTACACATTTGCTTCGAAAATCCTTTCTTGTGATTCTTCTCTTTGTTATCTACATTTCTGACAATTTGCCGAATTCAGGCTGATGACATTTTACTATATCTCACATGAAATAAAAATGCTGATACATTTTGGTTGACTTAAATAACAACATTGGTAATCATTTACAGATTTCAAATGTTTTCCCAACCATCCTTCCTGTGTGACTGATGATCAGAACATCCCTCTGAGGTTAAATATTGTAATCATCTCCCCTGTAGGGATGAGAAAGCCAAGGGCAGGAGCCAGGTGACACAGGTAGGAAGCAGCATGTGCAGCCGTCCATCCCAGTCCTCCTGATGTCAAGGCCAGAGCTCGCTCCTCTCCATCAATAGTCTAATCCCTCTGAATAAGCAGCAGGTCAATCGATGCTGATGAAATTGGGTAAACTCCTTAAGGATAACTTAAAGCTCACCCAGAGGGTTTGATCATAATATGAAAAAAAACCAGCAGTCACTTTGTCTAAGCTGTAAAAGAAATCTAAAAATTGTATTTCACCTGTGCAGATTTTCATCAGCACGACCACCAGGAACCCTGCAACAATAGGTATGACAGGTGCGGCACTGTCAGGCCATTGGTTAAGGCGTTCAGGGATCCAATAAGGCAAACAATTATTTGGTGCAATGGATGCCCTGGAACTGCTACATGAAGTGAGAAATATACAAAAGTTATGAAAGCTGTTTAGCACAGTGGCACAAAGTCATTCAGTCAACTCTTATTTCTAGTGTCATGAGTAGAGACCTTGATCATTCATTCAAAAGCAGGACATCAGAAAACTTACTCTGGAATAATCGAGATCTCTGGGCGTTGAGTCTGTTAAAGCTCGGACAAGGGCGTTCATCATACAGAGTGGCGGAGAAGGCGGAGAGGGCTGAGAAGGCTCCTGCTGTAACGGGCTCTTTGGTTTTGAAGGCAGGCGACCTCTCCTCCCCTTCAGACTATCTGTACGGACCACTGGTGCCGGGAGAAAGAGAGAAAAGATGTCTTCAAAGATATTCGTGAATAGCCACAGATCGCAAAAAGAAATAAAAAACACCTCGCTGTTGAGCAATCATTAATAGACCAACCATTGCAAAATGGCAGGAAGTTTGGAATAATATTCACACAATGACTTAACGAGAGTTGAAACAAGCAGCGTAAAAGCCACCCATACTTGCATTTGGTAATGAGTTAGCCCTGAAAGTCTCCTTCTTAAATAGAACGAGGATGTGTGTACACAAGCTCTCTATTGATTTTGAGAAATTAGAATAAGTAGTCCTCAGCTATTTCTAAATGTAAACATACACTGTAAAAACGAAATGTTGGAAGGAAAGGGAAACAAGGAAAATTCACCATCCCAACGTAAATGTTAACATTTCTTTTCCAGTGATATCCAAGAAGACATATTAGCAAGTTGGATAAAAAGCATTATATCCATACCTTCTTTAACCATTCCGACACTGAGACACTTCTGGAATCGGCAGTACTGACATCGATTTCGCCGTCTCTTGTCCACGGGGCAGTTTTTATTTGCCAGGCAAACATATTTTGCATTTTTCTGCACCGTTCTCTGAGAAAATACAAGACGGGGATAGTCAACTAATAGTTTCTGGAAAGAGGTAGAACCTGACAAGATGTATTTTAATTACAATGTGAAAAGCGACAGTGCAATTCGTATAATTAGATAAATTTAATTTCCTAACACGCTAGCCTGCAGGAAAAACAATTTTATTAGTGTTCGCTGCTGACAATGGAAATCATCTCGGATTGTTCTGAAGCACATCTCAGGAGACATCCAAGTCTGAATGATAAAATCATATCTGAAATTACCAGGTCAACACATCATACCTTGGAGGGTTAGATTATCTCCACTTTTAATATCCCTTTGGGAACAATTTTCTACTTGTTCTACTCCTCTGATTATTGCTGACCTTATTAAAATAAAATAAAAACGATCTGGGATGTACTTTGCTGGCTGTCACTTTTGTAAGTCAAATATCGCGGTAACTGGCTTTGTTCCCCGATAGAGATGAAACCAGGAAAAGCACACATCAGGAATTGTCAAGTTAAAACATATAGGAAATAATGTTTTAAGGCAAAAAAAATCACTTAATCAGCCTGTGTAGTTTATTTTATCCTTAAAAGAATATAGATGGTAAATGGCTATTTTTGATATTTAAAAATCAAAATCTTAAAATTGGACACTAAAAACCATGATCACATCCAAAAGAGAGAGAGAGAGAAAGAAAGGATTATGAGAGCCACACATTTTCAATGAAAACTCCCATTAATATAGGTTATTTCATAAATGACTAGAGGCATAGACATCAAAATAGCCATATTGTAAAAGACACCTCATGAAACTTGGATATGAAATAATGATGTATTCTTCAGAATCACATATAATTTCAAAACGACACATAGAGAAATAACTGAGCAAAATTTTATGCTCCATATATAAGGGAGGTTTGATATATATATATATATTTTTTACTTAAAAACATTTGTGCAAATAAATATATGTATTTACCACTTAGGATGAAATCATTCCGAAATTACCTGAATCTATACAACTCCAAATATAGCAGAAAGTTGGAATTTATCTGATAAGCCTAAAAAAGAAGAAATCCAGGTAATTTGGGGTTGGCGATCTATTTCTCGCCCCAAATTCTAGCCTGGTTTTCAAGCTTTACTTTCAGCCACCCTCAGCTCCCATTTCTCAGTTTTCATCCTATCACCTTTTCATTTCACTTTAGGAGATCATTGCTAAGCTGCTTAAATAAGACTAAAATTTCACAAAATCAGATATATTTTCCCTGCATTCGTAGGTCATTGTAGTTTAAAATGCAGAATTCCAAAACACAGACATGCTTCTGAGTTTCCGGCATTTAAATTGTCAGCAGTCTTTCAGAGGAGGAGACTCGTGTTTCCTGAATAGAGCTCTCTTGCACCGAATATGCGGTAATTTCTAAAACTGTAGTTCTTGTCCTCCAGGCTACATGCCAGTTTCAGTGCTGGTGGCATTTTGCGTCGGGTATACATTTCCCCGATAACCTGAGAGCTTTCCCACGCTTGTGTGTGGCCGCACAGTTTAAGGACAGGGAGAGATCGTTATGGTTCAATCACTGAATTCCATCATTAACTGCATTTCATGTCACATTTTTTTTAAAAATTCAATTTAATGGTAGAAAGCCACTGGGTAAAACCTGCTCCAGTTCCCTTAATTAACAGATCTGTGGGGTGGTTCTCTCCATCCCACTGCCCGCCCTTTCCAATATAGATTTGTTTTCCAGGCATTGCGGCAGAAAAGGGACGCTGTTGGGGAACACTTAATTGACATTTCTGGATCAGGAGTGTATTGCCATGCCTGTATTTTCGTCAATTCTCAATTATTCAGGGATGGTTATATTTGAAGTGACTCACCCACCTCTTAATTGTTTTTAAATCCTCCCCCCACTTTTGGCTGTCTGTTTCACTGCCCTTCATTCAGCATTTCCACTGAAATTATGTAAAAATCAATCTGTGAAAGGAATGCACTTCTTCGAAAGTAACCCTGGTGAAGCCTGAGTAGTTAAGAATGAAAAAAAAGTGGTTTACCTCAGGGTTCTACATTCAAAACATTGTAATCCTGTGCATACCTTCTATGTGGCACTTACATTGCAAAGTCTTTCCACAGCGTTTCCTCATCTTTCTGCAGAATTTAATTCATCACATGGTTTCTATGCCCAGATCAAAAATAATGGTTGCTTGTTGGTTTGTATACCAATCCAGGAACATGTGAGTTTTGACAAATATTCTGTAGTTTGCACTTATAGTAAACTATCATTTTATAGCCCTTTATGATTATAAAGTGTTTTCATAATTGTTTTATTTCATTTAATACTCACAGCCCTTCTCTGAATTTTATTCACCTGATAGGGAAACTGAGGCCTAGAAAGAAGCGTCACACCCAATGTCGTATAGTTGTTAGGTGACAGATCAAGACCTCCTATCCCAGTGTTCTCCAGGTCCAGCCTGCTCCCAGATACATCCTATTGGCCCCCCAAATCCTAGTTACCCAATCAGCATCCAGCTTCCCCTCTCCCTCCACTCTGCCCTGCACTGCAGGCTACAGGCATCGATTATTGTGGGAGAACATTTGTGGGTTTGCAAATGCCTGAGATGATAGTCAGGGGAGTGGAGGGAATTAAGTGTCCGAAGTAGTCTGGGGCCAATAACAAAAGCAGAGCAGCAAAAGAACAAGGCCTCTTTCCCCTGAGTGGTATACAGAGCACCCAACTCTACAGTCAGGAGAAACCAGCTGGAACGTCCCTAGTGCTGATAAATCACTGGTAATGAGGTACAGGATGCTTTGACTCTCTAAGCTTCAGCTTCCTCACAGGTAAAATATGGCTGAGGCTGAAACCCTCCCACTGTAACATTCTCCTTTGGTCTATGAGACCACAAACACCTTCTGCGCCTGGCACTGTGTGTGGCACTGAGGTAGGGTGCATTGCTAAGACCCCAGCTTCTGTTTTCTATAGAGGGAGCCATCAGGCCGGTTGCTTGTTCTGCAGCTGCAGAGGTGTGAAGACCTGTACACTTTGGGGTCACGCGAACATGAGCTGGCATCCTGTCTCCCCCTCACTCTCTGAGTGTGTGTCCTAGGCAGTTGAATAACCTTTCCTGGTCTCCATTTCATTTATGAAAACAAAGATACTAAACATCTACCTTCGAGACACTTAAAAGTAGCTAGTGAGTGGCCAGAATGTGATCTCAGGTCTGTCTGATTCAATAGTTCTAGATCTTACTATGAAGATTAAATGAGATGCAAATGTCCATGGCCTGGCACACCGATCCTACCCCTCCGAACGGGCAGAGGAGACATGGAATAGGGGTTTTGCATTTTCGAGATCTCTTTGAGAAGCTGCTGAAAGCTCCCTCTAGAAAAATGATCATAAGATAATGCCAAGCCAGGAAGTTCAAAGCCCCCGAAGTCCATCTGGGGAGGCCTCCTACAATGGACTTCAAGTTAGACCACCCTGAGAAAAGGGATGTGAAGGCTCTGTGCTACAGGAGCGCAGAGAGGTAACGATTGTATCTCTCAAACCGGGGAAGGACCCACTCAGATGCTCACTGGAGCGGGTGGCTGAGAAGGCTGGCGCCAAGGGGAGGCGTGCGCTCACCTTGAAGAAGCCCTTGCAGCCCTCGCAGGTGCGAACGCCGTAGTGCTGGCAGGCAGCGTTGTCCCCGCACACAGCACACGTGCCCTCGCCGGAGGACGAGGTCCGGATGGGCGGCGACGGCAGGCCGGGGCTCTCGCCCAGCAGGCTGGACGCGGTGGGAGAGGCTGTGAGGCCGAGCGGCGAGAAGGCCAGCGTGGCAGCCCTCTTGGGCAGCGGCAGCCCGTACGGGTGGCCCTCGAGCGCGGCGGCCTGGCTGCCTGCTGCGGCGGCTCCCAGAGGCAGGCTGAGCGCGGCGGCGGTCGGGTCGTAGCCCAGGTGGTGGCCGCCGGCCGGGCTGGGCGCGGGCGGGTGAGGCGGCGAGGGCTTGAAGTGGAAGAGCGGGAAGCGCGCGCCTGCCACCGTGGGCACCGCCTTCATCGCAGGGTCGAGCAGGGGGCCCGGCGCGATGCAGCCCTGCGCGGAGGGCAACGCGTCGTCCCACAGCGCCCCCGCCTGCGGGGGGAAGCCCGGCGTGGTGGGGGTGGACGGCGGGGATGGCTTGAAGTACATGGAAGTGCTGGGCAGCACCTCGTCCTCCGGTCCGGAGGGGGGTGGAATGGATGACTGCTGCTGCGGCTGCTGCTGATGGTGGTGGTGGGGGTGGTGGGGGTGGTGGTGGTGGTGGTAGCCATGAGCGTGGCCCTCTTCCACCTTGATCAAGGGTCTGGGCCCAGGGGGCTGCATTTGGTACTGGCAGGACTTGAATTCGTAGTTGCTGGAGTAGCCCTCCACGAAGGTACTGAAGCTGGGCAGGGATGTGGTGGCCGTGGCCGTGATCTCGGTGCTGCCGAGGTCCATGGTCAGCTTGGCGTAGTCGGGGTTCATGATCTCCGCGGTGTACTCTGGGCTGTAAGTCTGCACTGCATAACTGGAACCTGGAGGCGATGGACTATACTGGGCTTGCACGCAGGGCATATCTGCAGCGACAGGGAAAAGGGTCTCTCAGCAGCAAGTCAGCACCCTTTCCTGGCTAATGGCGGAGCACCGACTTCATTGCTCTTTCATTTAGGTCTAGGAAATGAAAAGGAAGTGACATCCTTTCCTCTTTCTGGCAGCATTCATCTAAAACCCCAGGCTTCTTTACTTCCTTTCTTCCCAGGAAAGAAAGCTGAATCCCTGAGAGACTGTCCAGGGGGCCACAGGATGCCGAAACCGGCCTCCTGGGGACCTCTGGGCCCACTTTTCTTCCCTTGCCCTGCCCTCCACCAGATCTGGGAAATTTGCTGTCTTCTCTCATAGGCCCAGCGATGTTTTTAAGAGTGGTTTTGGGTTTAATTGGAGAGACTTCAGCCACTAGTTCGGAGGGCAAAAAGAAAGCCAGTGAATGCTCTGTTGGTTTATTTTTAGGGGAAAAGGCCAATGGTTCCCCAAGTCACACAAATTGATTTATAAACCTATGAATTAGTCAATAAAAGGTGTCCTACATGGGACTTACTGGCCGAGGGAAGCAGTGACATTCTAACATTGTATAAGTGCCAACTAAAGCTACCTACACATCCTGTGGTCGCTTTCTCCCACCCCCTCCCCACGCCTCCAGGCAGGGCTGGCAGCCCTCAAAGACTGGACCCCTATTGATGACTGCAGCCAGTTAGGTGATGAGGTGGAAATGTAAGCCCAGGAAATGGACTGAAGGGAGTTTGCACCATCTGCAAAGAAAATCAGCAGCTGCAACAAAACACCCACCAAACCTGCCCTCTGCCATGTACAGTGTGTATGTGTGTGTGTGTGTGTGTGTGTATCCCCAATTCTGACTAATAAAATATATCACTGGCTGTTTTATAACAACAGCTTACAGCTATCGTAATAGGTGAGTTAATTTACATATTTTCTCATGACAGAAGAATCACTCTCCCTAAAAAACGAAAGCAGTTTCTTAATAGGTTTAATTTCTCTGCCAATTTGACTGTGTTGAACCCCCAAAGTGACTGGTATCCAGGGTGCTTACTATGGGTCAGAGAGGCTGAGCTGGATCAGAAGGCCCTCAGACTGACTGGGTCTAGTGAATGACTTATCTAATTATTTCCCTTTCTGTGTGGCTAAGTATAAATGGGCAATTTCTGGTGGTTGGTTTTTTGAACCAAAGGAAAACCAGGTGCCTAACGTCTGTTTGGCTTGTATGGTGTAAAAGGTGTGACTAATAGAAGAGTGAGTACTTCACATTTCCTTTGGCATCTTTCTCTTACCCACATTTCCAAATCTGATTGAGTCATGCGTGTATGGGATGAAATCTTGACTTGAAAAAAGGTGATGAGGGCCTGTTGGAAGAAGCAGTGATAAGGAGAGGCCAGTTCAAGCCTTTATTTTTCAAGCAGGGCCTTAAAAACACTCACTAGTTTGAAGTTAAAGGCTTACATAGCCTCCTGACCAGTTGCTGGGGGTGAAATGAAAGACTGACCATTTAAAAGAAAGAATACTACCTGATGTTTTATCTATTGTCCTTCTCCCTTTAGAGCTCTAGGGTTTTTCTGTGAGTCCTTTCTGCCTTCCTTCCTTGCCAATCTCTACCTATTGCTCTTGTGTCTTTAAGTGCTTTCCAGCTAGACAGTGAGCTTTCTGGGACTGAGTTCTATTTACCTGCCTATCTTTGGTGCCTACGCAGGCCTGCAACCCGGTATCCCTCTGACAAATGCATAAAGAGGTGTTACAAGCCAAGCTTGCAATCCTTTCTTTTGCCAACTCGAATTTACTCCTCGGTTTTTAGGTCAAATGTCTTTTCTTGCCTCCTTTGAGCTTCAATAGCCCGCACTTCTGTGCCCGAGTGATTGGGGTCTTATACAAACAAAACATGTTCTGTATCGTTCTAAGTGGCCTCATAACTCTCAAATGCATGAACTGCACATAAAAGGAGAGCAGAAATGAAGATATTAAAATGTATTGACATATCCTAATCTATGGCGGATTTGCCTTTTTTCTTAGGAGAAATATTTTTTGAGACATACAATGCTTAATTTAATCTGGCTGCTCCACTCGGTAGTAACAGGGTGTGGTCTCCAGAGGAGCTTCCTGCAAGGAAGCCACCTGTGCTGTGAAATACTTGTTCAGCAGTCACTGTCCTGGCACTGGGCACATCGACCACTTTGCCCACTCACTTGTTGTGTGGCTTCCCCACTCACCTCTCTCAGTTGGGGAGGAAGAAAGGGTCCTGCCTTCAGACCTACCTGGAGGGTATCTTGCGCGCTGAATGGTGGGGCTGTGGGTCTCTCCAGCAGAGGCTGAGAGCGAAGGAGGCGGAGACGTCCGGCTAGGCGAGGCGGCGGTGCTTCCAGGCTCAGCTGAGGGTCCAGTCTCAGGGCCGGGGCTTGCCGGGCTGCGCTCTTCCGCAGTGGATTCTGCGGACACCAGGAGAAAGAACAAAGGTCACAGTAAGTCCAGGCTGAGTCACCAGGGCCTGGGCGTACTGGGAGTTGGTGGGAGCCTTCAGAAACGCTACGTTAATTACAAACAATTTTAAGGGTAAGAAAGCAATGCTTAAGGTGACTGGAGTCCCTAAACAGGACACATCACACCACCTTGGGGTAACCGGGGAACAGTTGTGTGTACCAGCCGCGCTCACCGCCGTTTTGTGGCACTCGAAGGAGGCTGAAAACGCAAAGCCTGCCGTCGCCCAGAAATTGATATATCTGCCCCCACAGTTGGTTCCAGCTCAAGAACTCAAGAAAAGCACTTGAGGAAAGAGTTCCGCCCGAATTGGAGGGGGGGGGGGTCAGTGAGTGTACACGAGCGGAAAATAGGCATTTTCCAATCCTCCCTGCCCCCACCCCTCAAACACAAATTTTACACGTTGCATAGGAAATGTGCGAAGTCCGGAACGAATGCATGAATGCCCCGAAGAATTAAGAAAGTCTGAGCTTTTCATTCTAAATGCTAATGGGGCTTCTCTTCTATTAGCTGCGAGTTGCGGGGGGCCAGGGGTCAAGCAAACAAAAGGGCACGGGGGAAACAGGCCCACGCTGAAAGCAAGGCGACAAGGCGGATGGCGTTCGCAGCTGGTGGGGAGGTCGGAGGGAGGCCCCCTGCACCCAGTGGGCCGCATCCTCGAGGGTGGGCGACTTGGAGGCTTGAGGCCACCCGGCTGCCCCGAGGGGGCACATTCCGGAGGGCGCCCGCACGGCTCCAGGGCGAGCGTCTCTGCGCATTGCTTCAGCGAAACTTTGTAGCTGAAAGCGTGGCTCCGCGGGCCTCGAGGAAGGATCCCACCGCCCCTATCTCCGGCCTATAGCGCCCCCTTTGTCGGGCCCCGCTCACAGCTCCTGGGGGAGGGAACGTGGAGCCAAAATAAAATCCGCCAAGTCCCTGCGGGTGCGCGGTCTGGGAGGGTCCTGTAAGAGTCGTCTCCTGCAGCCCCGGAGCCTACCGCTTCCCTGAAGGCAAAGAGAGGTCCTCGGAGCCTTCGGGTCCGGGAAGCCCCGGAAGGCCAGGGAATGGGGGCTTCCCTTGACATCCCCAATCCCAGCCCCAGCCCCTTCCCCGGCCCCGGATGATCCTACGGAAAGCTTGAGCGAGCTCTAGCGCAGGCACTGACGGAGCTTCCCACGGTGGTAGCTCGCGCTTCCAGTCCCCCACCCCGCGCATCCTCAGTGGGGGCCTCCAGGAGGTGCCCGCATTCCCGCCCTTCCCACGGGCCTTGCAGTCGGAGCCTTTCTCCGAGGATCGGCCTTTGGCTCCGGTGGGCGAGGGTCGCGTCTCTCTGAGGAAGGGTCTCCCCTCGAGCACCAGCCTTCGCGGGAAAGAGCCACACCGCATTTCCTACGGTTGAGCCGAGACCCCGCGGTTCTCCCCACCCCTCCCAAAGGTCGGGTTACCTAGGCAAAGCCTCCGCGCCTGGAAACACGCTCCGTGGCTCCTGCTCGCGGGCGCCGGGGCCGGGAGCACGGAGCCTCGGGGTTGTGAATTAGGAAGAAATAACTACCTCTGTCAAAGCCCCTTTCTTTCTCGTGGGCAGACGAAAGGAACACCCCCGTGTTCCCCTCCCGGTGGTGAAGCGTGTGGAGGAAACCGTGAAACGCACCATTGTGACCCCGGCTCCTCCGCGGAGTTTCCAACCCTGGGGAGCGGGGGCGGAGGCTGGGCGGGGGCAGAAGGAGTGGAGGAGAGACCGACAGAAAGGGAAAGACAGAGATTCTCAGAAAGACCCAGGGAGCGGAGACAAACCGCGAGGAGAAATCCTGCGAGCACAGGGTCCCAGGGAAGGGAGTGGGTGGCTGTGGGGGGAGGGAGCGGCCGCGGAGGCCGCTGTGGCCTCGGGTCTCGGTGGCGCTCGCGTTGGAGCATCTCCTTTAGCCAAGGCAGCTCGAATAAACTCTAACTTCATTCATTGCGCCCAGCGGCCCCGCGGGGCAGCTTTCTCTTTCCCCAACTTAGTTCTAGAAAACATCTTTTCGCCGTGGGAAAAGAAGATTCAGGGTTGAAGTCGCGATGAAACGACTGAACGGGAGCCCCGTGCCCCTCTCCCCGCACCCCAAGACGCCGGGATAACCAGCGGCCCGGGGTTTCTGATTCCCAAACTCCCTGCAGCCAGCTCTTCCCTGGGGAGCACCCGGAGGCATAAATAAAAGGCAGACTTCGAGAACGTTCTTTCAAAATCGAGGGGCAAATGCTTAAACCTCACTTAAGCTTTAAATGCTTAAAGCTGCCCAAAGCTTCCGAAAGGTTCTAGAAGCGCCCTTGGAAGCCAGTCCCTGCAGACTGCGTTGGCACGGCCGCTCTCTTCCCACGACCGAGAACTTTCATTTCTATTAGGAGTAAGACACTCGGAGCAACTTCTCCAAAGGCGCGAGTTCTGTCCGTGAAGAGCACGACAGGCCTTTCCCACACCGAGCCAAGCCCGGAGGAGAGGAACCCCGTCCCCACGCGTGTCGGAGCGCGGGACCCCGCAATTACACCCGATTACCTCGGAAGGGAGAGTGTAAACGGGCAAGTCGGCGACGCCGGGCAGACGTGCTGAGTGGAGCTCCGGGCTCATTTCAATACAATCAGCCGCATTCCTACAATTATGCCTTCTTCCCTGAGACCCTCCGAGCGCCTGGGCAAACTCCGGCCGCCGCTGCTCGGGCCCCTTCCCTCCCAGGCGACCTGTCAACCAACCGGCTCGAAGTCACTCTTAGGCGTGTTAACTTGGACCCACCGGAGCCTCTATTTTCAAGCCTAGTTAAAAGGCAGGAAAATTGCTGCCGTTCATCACCGTCGCCGTAACTCCCTGCCGCCACAGCCGCGGCCGCCGAGAGCATCATTACCATGACAACTAGAGCCGAAATACCCTGAATTACGTCGCTGGAGCTGCCACGGCACAGATCCCGGTCCTCCTCTTTGTTAGAGGCTTTTCGCCCCTTCGGGCTGGGGGAGGAATCCCGAGAGCTCCCGAGCTCCCCGCGGGTCCGCTACGAGGGAAAAGTTTCCGATCAGCCCACCCGCAGCTCCGGGAGCACAGGCGCCGCGAGGAGGTGTGTATGTGTCGTGGGGGGGGGGAGCCCCACACACAAAGTTGTCAATTTCGGGAGCGACGCTTCTCCGCGCGCCAACTTTTTAGCAAGTCCCCCAATTAACCGGGCGAGTCTCAAATACGTACTTGAATGCTGTGGCGGTTCCGTCTTTAGAGCGAGTTGCTAGAGAGCTGCCCCGAAACCTGCACTTGGTGGGGAGTCGCGGCTGCTGTCCCGGAAGGCTGCGGGATCCAAGTCCAGAGGCTCCCAGAGGCGGCGAGCGGCTGGCGGGGGATGCTGCGATCGGGACTCATGGGAGGGCGCCGCCGAGGGGTTCCGCGGGCGCCCAGGCTCGCGCCGCCGCTGGGGGAAGGATGCCGCCGCCGCTCCCACCTCCACGGCCGCCGCTGTCAGCGTTGCAAAGTGAGCCCGGGAGGGGCGTCCGGCTGCCGCGCGGCGCTGCACCCGCGAGGGCGCAGGGCGAGAGGGGTGTGAGCGCGCGGGAGAGAGTGGAGTGTGTGTGCGGAGCGTGTGAGCGCGCGTGTCTGTGTGTGCGAGTGAGGGAGCGGGTGTGAGCTCGTCTGTGTGTGGGGCGCGGAGGAGGAGCAGGAGCTGGAGGGGTGGGGGGCGGGAGGCAGGAGACTCTGCTCTCCCGGCTGCGCGTTCGCTCGCTCTCTCGGCACGTCATTTATGCCACAGGAGCCCTAGCGGCCTCTCCATAGAGTGACTGGAATGCAAGACGTCAATGTGACGCCATGGGACGCTACGTCACCCTCCTCCTCCCTCCCCTGGCCCAGCCGGTTCCGCGTGTGCGAGGGTGTGTGTGTGAGTGTGTGTGCATGTGCGCGCGCGCGCATTACCGGGCCGTTCGCTCTGGGCGACCCTATGGAAACTATGCGGCGCAGCTAGCCCCAGCCTGGAGGTCTTTCCGACCCGCGCTGGCAACCCCCCTGCGGTGGCGCTGCTCGCCCGGGCACGAGTCTGCGAAAGAGAGCAGAGGCCCGCCCGCGGGTCAGGAGGGACCGCCCAGCTGTCAGGATCGGGTGGAGTAGAGCTGGAGGAGTGCTGCTGGCGCTCCTCCGAGGCTGCCCCGGGGCAAAGAGCCAGGGCGAGGGGGTAAGGGAGAGGACAGCTCTTCCGAAAGAGAAGGCTCCGCCAGCTAGCTTCTCCGAGTGACCTGGCAGCGGGTGCAGAAGGAGTCAGGCACCAGACCAGACTCCCTGGGGGCAGCTGCGTTTTCCTCCAGCCACAGTTCTAGAACTGTTTACGTCTGCTCGGCCCTCTGCGCCTAGGCTGATCCCTGTGCTCGCATCATTTGCTGGGTGCGTGTTTCACACAGGGATGCGGATTGCTCTGAGACGATAAGGCTTTATTTCTTTATTCTTAAGGTGTGTGTTTCATAACTGGACCCACTGCAATCCAGCAAATGTACGTCCATCATCTACGCGCTTCGTAAAGCAGAAACTATTCAAATGTGTGTAAAACACACACGTGTTGAACAGCTGAGCGGGTCTGACTGTTACAAGTGTCCCCCTCCCGCCCCTCCCTCATCAGAAATTGAACTCTCCGTTCGCACTTTCAGTTTTTAATGGCTGTACACGGGCCTCCTTTCTCATCTCCCAAATTAAACATTTTGAAATCAATCAGCAAGATTTATTAGTCAGTCCCTCCCTAAGGGATTTGCTTTGGCCTCCTGGGACACATTTGTCATTAAATAGTGTGCCAAAACCCTGGGCGACTGTGTGAGGGAGAGCAATTTCTTACTGGAAGTGAATTTAAGTGTAAATTTCTTGCCGAAAACAAAAACACAAATTTACGAGTTAAAGACTCCTAGTCCCAAAGGTTACGTTGGAGTGGAAGCATCCTTTTTGAAAAGGCGAAAGAAGTATGCGATCCAAAGAGAAACC